TTATAGCTATTGAGGGTTTACGTACGACATATGAAGGAGACTATATATAAATAAGAACATGAGATACTGTAGCTAGGTAGGAGATATGATATGGGAATGTGTAAAAGTATGTCATGGGATTGGCATCTTGTGAGATTAATATTTTGTCTTACTTTGGGTTGCTTTTTGGTCATGATACTCATAATTAATATTTACATTTTAGTAAGAATATAATAAACAAACATTATTGAACTATGGCTTTAATTAAAAGATTCTCTAAGTGTGAAAACCCTAGGAAGAGAGACGGAAAAGGATAGGAAGAAGGGCCCATGCATCTCTCAACTTCTCTCATATATGCAACTTACGCGCTCATTGCACCATATTATTGTGGCTCTACCTCTATCTATAATAGTAATCCCGGTGCGACCATAGTGTGGCTCCATTCAATTCAAGTTTTTAAAAATAAATTTGCTTTAAACCAAGAAAGAATGCTTTTAATGATTCAACAGTTTCAGGGGGCCGGTCTATCTATTCTCTAACCAAATCTACCTGGCGACACCTAAACACTCTTCTTTTACTTTTTCCGTTTTGACAGTTTTTTTTCTTTTCTATATGTTGTTATGGTTTTAATTAGAAATTGTGTTTTTATTTTTAAATGAAAAAAGAAAGCATCCAAATCGACTTTGGCTTTAGTGTTGGGAGGCTTCTTTAGTCCCTTTTACATATGGATTAAAGACGTTGTTTGCCTCTTTTACATCATTACTCCCACACAATCTTTGACTCATCTCTCTCTTTCTCTCCCAACTTAAATTTTACTAGCTCGCGGTCAAATCTCTTTTGCCTCGACTCTCGGACTCGATCCAAACATAATTTAAAAAATTAAAAATCGACACCTTAACATGTATATAACACACACATACATATCTAATTTACATGTGTTTTGTTCTTGCTAAACTCTAATTCATATGTATGAACAAGTAGGAAACGGAATTAAAAAGGTAATCAAACGTTTATGCAAGGAAATTAGCAAGTGAGTGATGAAGAGCGGGTTTTATCAACCCTAAGTTGTAACAAAATGTCTTCCATAAATGTAATATAACAAATACATATATTTTCCAAAAAGCATAAATCCAAACTTCAAGTAAGTAACCATCCTTTTTATTTGAGAAAAAAAATAACAATAACATTTTAGGTAAGCTTTAAGATGTGGTCACCAATAACTTGGGGAGAGAGAGAAATGGAAAGAGTACTAGTACTGAAAGAGTTTTTGGCGAAAGGTGTTTTAACAGTTTTAACTTATACCATATATCAACTGCCATATATGCCCCAATTGTTTCATCGCTTTTTTTCTTGGGCTCACAAATCGAGTCACCAGTCTTGAGATTTGTGAGGTCCTAAGCAAAAATTTTTTTTTAAAGAATTTATAGATACATTTTTAAACTGGGGTTTTTTGGAAAAAAAATTCCAAAAGCCTGATTTTTATATTAAAAAATTAAAAAATTTTGGAGGCCCAAAGTCCATGCCTCTTTGGCCAGCAAGTATGATATATATATGAACAGATAATGCATGTGATAATATACG